GGGGGGGGGGGGGGGGGGGGGTGGCGGTAGTGCAAGAAATGAACACGAGAGAGGGGAAAGCAAAAGTTATCTTTTTAGGCCAAAAAAAAGTGATTCTATAGACGGAAAAAAGCAGACTGCGACTATGATTTTAACTTTAATATTCAACTTTTCAAGGCATATGATTTAACTTTACTGATTGGTACATGCTCATATCAATGTCCATTACTCACCCACTTATTTAATATAAAAGCCCATTTTGTTTCTTATAATTACTAATTGTACCACTCATCGCGTAACCCTATTTTTTCGTTTACTATGCATTTTATGATATTTCAATATATTGAAGTTAACATTATTGGACAAAAGTAAAAGTAAAAGTAAAAATGGAAATCAAAGAAATGATTTTTAGGACAATTAGATGTATATAAATATAGTGAGTCGAGCGCAAGATGAGTCTCTCAATTGAAGTCTAGTTCGACTCGTCCATGAACTCGGTACTTGGCGGGCCAAGTCCAGTTCTCGAGCCACTCGTTCGACAATTTGATTTTACTAAAATTGTACTTTTATTCATTAAAAAGAGTCAACTAGCAGGTCGTTGTTAAGTAGTTCACATAAATTGGCCTCACTCTTCACCCTTAAAGAGAATGGACGTTAATTTGGAAATTTTGAGATTAGCATCTCGAGTATCAAGGATCAATCAATCAATTCAATTCTTTTTAAGTCCAAATGAGCAAAATTGTTATAAACAATTATACACATTCAATTTTCTTGACAACCCTTCTATAAATTATTTGATTGTTTGATGTTTTCTTTATAAAAAGTAAATATATCCCGTTATTCGTTGTTGTTATTATTATTATTATTATTATTCAACCGGCATTCTGAAAAAGACAAAAGACAGTTGTCCCATGATGCACAAACAAACCAATTTTAGCTTGTTTTGTTAAATTTTAAAAGTTATTTTATTAGAGAATAAAGCAAGATTTACTTTTCAAAATATTTTTTAGTGAAAAAGCAGCTTTTAAATTAATACTCGACAAAATAGTAGTTGTAGCGTGTTTGGCTAAAATTGAAAATTACTTTCTTAGAGATTAAGTTATACCCACTTTTTTGCTTCCCTATTTGGATAAATATAAATGTTACTTTCTTATAAAGTAATTTAAAACTTTTTTTTGCAAATTTTATTAGTAAAAATAATAAAAAATTTTTAAAAGCAATAATAACCATTTAATTAATTTAAGACCTCTAATAAATTGCTCAATAAAGTGCTTAGTCAAAGCTTAATGGCACCAAAACAACAAAATAAGCTATCTAGTCGACTACATTATTTTCTTTAAGAGGATTAAAATAGCAAGAACCACACCCAACATTGTTATAAAAGTTACAATATCTTGAAAATATAAACTAGATCGTGCTAATAAAAAATTAGATCGCACATTGTAGGCTAAAGATTTGGCATCAAATTCAACCACCTCAATGGGTAGATCATGGTGTCATATCCATTGGCAAAGCCATTGCGATAGCAACAAGAAGTGCGATTATCCTCACCAATCCGAGATATATGAGTTGCGACTACAAAATATAAGGGTATGTTCTCTTTATCATTTTTAAGTCATTTTCTGTTTTCGATTTTCCAAAACAGTGAAAACGCGTTCTCTTTCCTATTTTCGAAAACGTGTTTTTGAAAATAAGTTAAAAATTTACAAAGAAAACACAAAACGACAAATTTGTCATTTTGAGTGTTTTCAGTTATAATCAAGCCAAAATTTTCAAAACGTGTTTTGGGTGTTTTTAAAACAATTTTTCAAAATACCAAAAAGAACACATTTTCAACCATCTCAAAATGAACACTCAAAACACAAAATTGGAATACAAAGAGAATATCCCCTAAATAATTTGAAAGTAACTTTCTTTTTTCACATGTTTGGCTAAGCTTAAAAGTTACCATATTTAAGAGTAAGTTTTTACAAGTTATCTACTCCAATTTGTTTTTGATTCTCAAATTCTACAGTAAATCAATTATCATTTTCAACCACATATTTTTCAATAAAATAATATTTTCCATCAAGTCAATAATTTTTTCTTTTTTTTTTTCAACCACACATTTCCCATCATATCACTATTCAAAAATCAATTCTTCCCCCAAAAATCCTACCAAACAAGCACTAAAATAACTTTTAAATTATATTTGAAAAAATAAGTAATTTAAAATAAAATTATTCATAATCAAGAACAATGTTATTTATTTAGATTAATATCCATATGTGATATTAAATCATGTACGGTATGAATTAAAATTAGAATTTTAATTTAAATCAAAATCAATAATTAATTTTAACCACACATTTTATGGGACACACAACTTTTTAATTATATATTTAATCAACTTTTATCAAAATCTTTTAAAAATCTAATTTTAATCTCTACCAAATAACATTCATTTATCAATTATCTTGATGGAGATTCATATCTACGTATTTAAAATGACATGAATTAACCTAAGTTGATAATATTATTCAATAATCAAAAGGGAAATCCATATGTTGTTTGGTGACTCCATGCAACGATTTCCAACTTTTTCTTTCACAGGGAAGCCACCCCCCGAAGCCACCTTCCCCCACCTGTCATTATATATTCCCTCAATCCCTTTCTACATTCTCCCCCCTTCTCTCTCGCTCATACTCAAACACACAGTCATTTTGCACACGGAACTGCACATTCTTCAGAGCTAAGCAAGTTAAAATAATTACTTATTTGCCACTCATTAGCGATGAATAGTAATAGAAAAACGCCAGTGAAAAATACTTCAGTTTTCGGTTGCGGTGACATGAAGCGGAGCCCTTCTGAAATGTTTCTCCATGAGCTTTTTGCTTCAGAATATGAGAAGAAAATTCAACAGAAAGCTGAGATTTTTTGTGGCTCTGATGATGATTTCTTTAATGTGGACGATGCAGGATTTTTCTTTCCATTCAAAAATCAGGTTAGTTAATTTCTCACCTAAATTTCTTTCTTTAATCTATGTATAAAAACATACTTTAGTATTGATTCAGATGCTTATGAACCACTGTTTTTATAAGTTGGTAGATAGGTTAATGCTTAAGGGTAAAATTCCACGTCTATCGAAGTGTAAAAACACTGACCTCACGTACAAAGGTTCGGCCTACAGGTTGCACTTTCTAAGATTGAACTCTATTTTTAATATAGCATTAGCGCTCATTAACCTTAAACAAGTCATATGACACAAAATTTTATAATACAGCATCAGAGCCCATTAACCTCAAATGAACCATTCCGTCGACCTATTTAAGCATCATTTTTGCCGGTTAGAATCGAAATATTCATTTGCAATTTGCTCGTTTGCCAAATTTGTTTGTATACTTGAGATATTTTGTGTTTGTATTGATGTAGTTTCGTTTATTAGTTATTTTTGCATATTTACTTAACTTGAAATTTATAGATGATGTGAGAAGGGAGTAAGGGAGGTCACGACTAGGAGGCCGAGTCTTTGTTGTACTTGTCCGGTAATGACGTCCGTGAAGGCATGCCTTGTCACAATCGCGTGTCACGTTCCTGAATATCTAGAATTACCACGATGGAGGCAGACCCATATAAGTAGGCCTAGGGAATTGTTTGGCTTGCTGGTTGCCTTGTGATCGGAGGCTGAAGTCTGGCACCAAGGCCGAGTGACCACACTGAACTTATAGTCGAACCCTATAGTCAGCTTCGGAAAACCAGTTGGGGGGCAAGTGCTCGGCCTCCCTAGAAGTCCTTAACCCTTAGAAGTTTTCTATTCTTCGTTCCTCCTTTTCTCTACGGTCAAGTAAACATATTTTACACACGAATGATTTGCTATCTTTTGTCCAATTAAGCTGTTAATTTTGAAATGCTATCTGCAATTCCAGGAAACGCCTTTGTCAAGTTGTAGCTCATTTGCAGATAATCAATATTTGCCTGGGAATTTCACTGCTGAGCAGCCTAACATATCGACAACAATGGATTCACTATCATCAATAAGTGGCGTGCGCAACCTCACGAGATTTCAACAAATCCACGATTCCAGTTACGTAAAATTTTGAGTAATCATCTTTTCATAATTATCTATTGTATAACTGTTACTTCGATCATGTACCATTTGAAATTTCTTGCAACTTCATTGCAATTTGATGGTAAAATCAGTTTATCATTTGTCAGTTAATAGTCCCTCATCTGCTACTAAGTCTAATGGCCGGGATAATCTACCAGCCGGAGCTAGCAGGGGTTCCTCGCAAGATCAATCGGATGAAGATGACCTAGAGTTTGAAGCTGGTTCTTGCGAACATAGCAAAGATCATGTCGATATGAAACGCAACAGAAGGTACAGTGTGATTCAGATAGATGACTATGAAAATTGAATTCCAAGTAGCTTGAAATGGTGAATGGCATTTCAGGAAAATTTTAAACAGGGAGTCTGCTCGTCGCTCAAGGAAAAGAAAACAAGCATATTTAGCAGAACTTAATCGAGAGGTGAACATCTTTTTCGGCATTTAAGAAAAAAGTTGCTCCATTTGTTCTACATTCTCTTAGAAGATCCTCTAAATCAACTTCCTTATATTTCATTATATTGATTGCTTGTATTAACCGAAAATGTTATGAGGTCCTAACTCGACTTTGCACTTCACACAGGTCGAGAAACTAAATGTTGAACACGACACTTTCTCCACACAGCTTGCATATGCTACTCAGAAATTCAAAGATGCTGCAACAAATAATCGAGTGCTTAAATCAGATGTTGAAGCTTTAAGAGCCAAGGTTTCTTAACTCCATTAACCTATACCGTGTTTTCTAACCTATCGGAGATCGATGGAATCGCCTTATTCTAGCCGATCTTAGTATTGGTGTTTTTTTATTGATCGTTGTTTTAGGAAAGAGGGATTGAGAGTTTACTTCAATATCGGAAAAAATAGAAAGTAAGGAAACTAATTCTCAATGTGGAACGCTACAAAAAATACTAAATAAGATCTTTCGTCCCTATTTCTTACTCGAATCAATTAAACTCATATCTATCTTTCTTATGCTAATGTAACGAAAGCTAGATTACTGAAAAACATAGACTCTCTGCTGATTTCCGTGTTGTTTTTTTCAGGTGAAACTGGCGGAAGACATGGTGGCTCGAGGCTCATTGACTTCAAGTTTGAGCCACCTTCTTCAAAATTATTTAGACACTCCCCAAACATTTATGAACAGTAACATGATCCGGATGGATAACGTGTCACCAACAATTACCTACGATAATACTCTATATCCTGGTTTAACAAGTTCAGCCATTGGACATGAAAATGCTGAGACCTTTAATGGCAGTGCAAGCAATGCAGTTTTGAGTGATGCTGTGAGCGGTATATCCGAGATGTGGCCATGGGAATCTCATGTTGCTCCCGGGTCAAAGTAGAGCCGATTCCTCCCTCTCGGGGAGACGATGTTCCGAGGATGATGTTGTTTCCATTTAGCTCGCTGTTAATTCTTATTTGTGCATTTACGTAGACTTGATTTCTTCTCTCTTGTACTCGACTACTGTACGTGCAGAAAGTTTCTCTTTCGCCGTGCTATATATGTTGTGCGTATATTATTGAAATTTATGTTTTGAACAATTTAAATTTTTAGATGAATGAAGTATAATGATTAAATTAAATTTTCTTTATTGAATTAGGATAAATTAAAGTTTAGTGATCCAATTAATATTTCAAAATCAATTAAAGTCAGAATACGGAATTGGAGAGCAGCAAACGGGAATGCTTGGCGTAAAATCTGATATATGCTCCCCGGGAATCATATTCTTGCAGCCTCTTACGGGCAAGCCACCAATGGTTCTGACTCATCACGTTGAAAGGGCTATTGACAAAGGAACCTTCCCTGATATGCTGGATCCTGCTGTAACTGATTGGCCCTTTGAAGAGGCTCTAAGCTTTGCCTAATTAGCACTCAGGCGTTCTGATTAAGCCCCTGTTTGGACCAAATTAAAATTTTTATTTTAATTATTCTATTTATTTTTAATCACACATTTTTCAATAACATAATATTTTTCATCATATCAATAACTTTTTCTTCTTTTTCAACCATACGTTCTTCATCAATTTACTATTCCAAAATTCATTCTTTCAAAATAATGTGGCTCAAACACACTTTAAGAAGGAAAGATAGACCGGATCTTCTTTAAGTTGTCCTGCCAGAACGGAACAAACTGAAAGAGGTTGCAGAAGATAGCGAGTCCAACTCAGTACGGTTCCCTTGGCTAGCCATAGTCAAGTTTCCTTGTCTAAAGTAATTTTATGCACATTTTTTGGAACCTTTTTGTTTACAACCATGCTTGGTGTAGTACACCAAGTTTGTTAGTTTGTCACATGGCAAATTGTCATTTGATAATTTTTTTTTTTTAAAAAATAGTTTTTCCTCCAATAATTTGTTGAAAACAAAGCAAGTGTCAAAGATGATGTATACTTTGGATTGTCTTATCTATTTCTTTCTCTGAAAATTAACCTTTAGTTTCTTCACTAGGAATTTATGTTCATCAACGTGTTGTCTATAATATTTTACTAAACCATTCAAAAATCAAGAATTTTGATAGCGATGACAAGAAATCTTGGATACTTCAATAGTCAGAGATGACTAAAAATCAAACCCCTCATTATCACGCGTATAAACAAGTTCTATTGAACGTACAAGAACTCTAGAATAGCAGTGAGAAAAGAAATGGAAAAATCCAAATTGATCTTGAAGCTTTTCATGGACCTCAAAAATAAAAGGGTTTTACTTGCTGAAGTTGGAAAAGACAACGTTGATTTCATCTTTCACATTCTCTCTTGTTCATAGCTTCTATGCTTGTTGGCCAACAAGAAATGGTGGGATGCTTGGATAGTGTCAAAAATTTCAACACTACCTACATACAACACGGAAAGAATAAGGACATCATTTTGAATCCAAATGCACCAAAAATTAGTGATTTGTGTGTAGATAAGTTCTTAGTGAAGAAATTAAAGGTTTGATTTTAGAGGAAAAACAGAGGAGAAAATGGTTCAAATGGGAAGAAAGAGGAAAATGACGAGAATACTTTTCACTTAACGGAGAAATTAGATGAAAATTGATGAAAATGATGTTTTGCGCAACCAAATGTGTCATTAAGGGTGAAAATGTCAAAATAAAAAATGAAAGGTGTGGATGTTTTCCACAATAACGGTGAAAAATAGGGAAATTATGTTCTAATTACCCTGTTTATTTCCACAGTCAATTACATTCAGTTCAATATATTTTTACGAAACAATTTTAGCAGGACTCGAGTTATCCATCATATGCACATCAAGCATGGGGAGCTGAGAGACAAGTTAAAAGGACAGATGACCAAATAAGTAGTTATAGGTATGAACGGAAAGTTCTTCTTTCCTGCCAAGTTTGACTCACTATCAGAAGTTATTTATATTTTGTAAATTGCTTTGTCTTTTATTGATGAAATTATTAAATCTACATCTCTAAGTACTATTACAGAAATGAATAGAAAATAGCTTAAGAGGATCCCGATCCAACGCAAGCATGAAATGTACGTAGTGTGTTTCGAAAACATATAAAACGAATAAGCTTTGTAAAAGGAATTGCATACATCTACTGCATATCTACTTATCTGCATGTAGAGACCATGTAGATTGAAAAAAGTTTGAAATTATTTCCAGCTTCTGAAATTTTATGCTTTAGAAAATGAAAAGTCTTCATCAGTTGGTGCTCTTGAGGAATATATTTCTCCTTCACTTGTGTAGGAAGAATATTCATCTTCATTGTCCCTTTCCTTCAATTCTTCAATTTTCTCAATAGCCTCCTTCAAATCCCACCTTCTCTCCACATTCCATTCACAGCAGCACATTCCAATCTTCAGTAGCCTGAGAACCTGACCTTCTCCATACCTTCCTAAACTCATGTCCTTATCAAATACCTCACCGGTCCACTCTTCTCTCACAACAGAATTAACCCAGGTTGCCAAATCTGCATTTGGTCCTCTACCCTGTTTCAGATAGTTAGCTGGAAGTCGTCCTGTGAGCAACTCGAGTATTAGAGTCCCAAGGCTCCACACATCTGTCTTCCTTGTTACGCGGTCACTTTTTGTGGATTCAGGTGACTTGTAGGCTACCATGAATCGCTGAGCATGCTCCTTGTTGATCACTGGTGTTAGTGCATAATCAGATAGAACCGGTTCAAAAGTGTTGTCTAGGAGAACATTCGATGACTTGAGATGGCCATGTGGTAGACTTAAGCTTGGCAGCTCTTTGTATAGGTAGGCCAACCCCCTTGCAACACCTTTGATGATTTTTAAACGCGTCTCTCTTTTAAGTGAAGGAGTGAATTTGCCTCCACTTGATTAAGTTCCTACTTCCACCCCTAAACCTCATGTCATGAATTTGATTTTGAAATACTTTTATTTAATTGAGCTATTCCTTTATCGACTACAATTATTAAAGCTCACACTGTATATATTCTTAATATTTTAATTTATCATTATATTACCATTCAATAAAGAAAACAAATAATATACTATTTGCAAATTTATTTTTTATCAGTATTTTCATGTTAAATATAAACACAATAAGATTGGTTGAACATTATAAAATTTTAGACATCATTTAGTTATTTATCTATCAAAGTTTTTATCCAAGTTTTTCACATCACTCAGTGAAAGATTGTAAGTTATAATTTTTCATGTGGTGCATTTATCCATTTTTAAAATATGTTAAATTTATCGGCAACGTGCTTGAGTATTTCTTCCATGCAAAGATTTGTTTCTTCCATTTTATATTAAAATAGGGTAATAAAGAGTTATTCTTTTTTTGGTTGCAGTGAAATTGTAGTATGTGCCTGTCAAGTTTGCGAGGAGATACTGGCCGAGATTTATGCAAAGCGCCAAACTTGAAGATTTCTTAGGCACCTTGCGGAACGTTACTGCCAATCCCAGAGGCAATGGTGTGCTGTGTAGCGTTACAGTAGGATGGAAAAAATGTGCAGACACTAAAAATATAAGTATCAGGGATATGTGTGTTTTTGAGCTCATTAATGATGGATTGTCTGTCATTAGTCTACAAGTTGTGTCGAATTGAAGCTTCACTCATTCCCACTAGATTTGTTTTACACAAAATTTAGCGGTCTTGTTAAGTTAATTTGTGCATGAATGATGGAATTTAGACTTGAACATTTCTTTTTAAAAAAAATCTCTTTAACTCAGTTTAACCATTTTTTGAAACGTGTTTTGAGGAATCTTAACATTTATTGATTATCTATCTTTTCTTTCAACTTTTATACAGTGGTTTAAGTTATTAAATGGACGAGTAGGAGATGTTGACCTCAAAAAACACGTGCCAACAAAATTCTGATCTCCTTCACTCCACGTGGACATTACGTGCGCACTTGGAACATTCCATTAGAGGTAAAGGCCGCCATTGAGAAAAAAGTTTGACGACCGTTTGCACTTCGACGTCAAGTCAATGATTGAACGAAATATAATATGAGTGCAAGCATGGGCAGACCGAGACAATTTTTCTTGTGGGGTCAAAAATGAGAATTCAACAATGTTTAGGTAAAAAATAAAAAACTCAAAGAGGAAAACTCAAAAAATAACAAAAAAATAAAAAAATGGTGGGGTCATTTTTTCTTGTGGGGTCAAAAATGAGAATTAAAAAATGTTTAGGTAAAAAAAAAACTCAAGAGGAAAACTCAAAAATAAAATAAAATTTGTGAGGTCATTTGACCCGAGTGCAAGAAGGGGAGAGAGGATTTGGGTAGGGTTTTTAGAACTTACAATAAGTGTGAAGTGGATCACATACATATAGAAAAATGAAACCGGCCAAGTGGATGCTAATGAAATGGGCCCAAATCCAAGTCCAGATGCAATTGCTTAATTAAATAGGCTCAATCAATTGAGTAGTTGATACCACTTCGGCTTACATGGGACTCTCTCCATCTGAACATGCCACGTAATTTATAAGTGTAACAATAATCTCTTAAGTTTGAGTCATACATTCATGTATGGATCGGACTTCGAAATATAAGTTGTCAAGTAGATGATATCTTACATATTGCCTAAAAAATATGAGTATCTCTAATAAGTGAGGGCTTACGAAATGCTTCGAAAATATGTATCAATCTTAAATAGGCGAGGACTTAAGAATTGCCTCAAGAATATAAGCCGTTCTAATAAATGAGGACTTGCAAACTGCCTCAGAAATATCTATGCAAACCCGAATAAGCAAGGACTTACAGATTGCGTCTGACATATCACATTATGATTTATCAAAATTTCGGCAGCATCTCCTTTGTAATATGGACTAAATCAACTTGTAATACAATATAATATCTCCATTGCAAATATATAAAATAAATTTGGGTCTACTTGCCCATCCAAATAAGGTAAAATGATGATCGGATCAAAGTTGCTAGTGTGAAGAAAGTAACATGATGTCTATAAAATGATAATGTAGATAACGTGACATACTTAATGACAGCAGTGAAAATAGTAATATGCGTACTTGATAGCGATAATACAAGGCATATTCTAGAAGTAATAATGCAATGATAATAAGATACTAGTATCACAATAGTCATCCAAGTTGAGTTGAATATTTATATACACGTCAAACTTGAAATATAAGCCACTATGATGAAGTTGATGCAGAGACGAGATTGAATATATAAGTAATCGTGATAACCTGATGTAGAGGGGATTCGTTGAATATAAGCAGCTGTGATAAGTTGATGTAGATGCGATACTTTCAATGTAAGTAGCATAGGTGATGCTCTAGATGTGAGCAGCTATGATAAACTGGTGTAGAGGCGATGTTCTGAATGTAAGTAGCAAAGGAGATGCTTTGAATGTAAGCAGTCGTGATAAGTTGATGTAGAGGCGATGTTCTGAATATACAAGTAGCAGAGGCATTGCTATAAATATATAAGTAGTAGAGGTGAATGTAAGTAGTTGAGGTAATGCTCCGGATGTAAGCAGCTCTAATAAATTGAGGTAGATACAAAGCTCTGAATATATAAGTAGCAGGGGCGATACTCTGGATGTGAGTAGCAGAGGCGATGCTCTGAATGTAAGTAACAGAGACAATGCTTTGAATGTAAATAGTTGAGGTGATGCCCTGAATTAACTAGTAGAGGTAATGCTCTGGATGTAAGCAGCTGTGATAAGCTAATGTAGAGGCGAGACACTAAACTGAATATAAACAGCTGTACTGATACTGATGTCAAGGCAAGACTCTGAATTGAATATAAATAGATGTACTGATATTGATGCAGAGGCAGATTCTGAACAGAATATAAACAGTGTTACTGATACTAATGCAGAGGCCGACTCTCAATTGAATATAAATAGATGAACTGATACTGATGTAGAAACTGACTCTAAAATGAATATAAACAGTTGTATTGATACTGATGCAGAAACCGACTCTAAACTGAATATAAATAGTTGTACTGGTATTGATGCAGGGGCAAACTCTGAATATATAAACAGCTGTGATAAGCTGATGTAGAGGCGATGCATTGAATATAAGTAGTAGAGACGATGCTCTGAAACGTAGGTAAATGTAATGTAGTCGATGTAGAGGCACGATAAGCTCTCTGAAGATAGATATATCTGTGTTATAGTTGATGCAAAGGTGCGACTTAAGTATGTAAGTAACTTGTTTTGAATATAAATGCATATGTAATGCAACAACTCGTGTAGTAAGGTATTTTCGTAGAGCAATGAATGAATATCGAGCTGGTGGCTTGTCTCAAGCTATCAGAGTCTTATAAGCTTGCCTCGAAAGGATGAGGTTGTAATGGTGATAGTGAGAATCCGAATTGGAAGAATAAGCACAATCATATCGCATGGCGATGCATCTCCAAGTGAGGAATAAATATTGAGTTGGTGGCTATCTCGAACTATTGGAGACTTACAAGCTGGCCTTGAGTGGACGAGGTCTTATAGTTAGGGTCGACGATAGTGAGTGGCGAGGAATAAGCATAACCAATGAATCTATCTAGTGAAGCGAGTAATAAGCATCCCCAAGTGGCTCGTCTCGAACAATTGTTGACTTATAAGTTGGTCTCGAAACGACAAGGTCTTATAGTTGGCTCGACGTTAGTGAAGGACAAGGGATAAACATCTAGCGAACCAAAGGAATATACATTCGATGAGGTGATGAATAAATATCTCGCAAGATTAAGAATAAGCATCCGATGAGGTAGAGAATAAAAATCCCGTGAGACAAGAAATAAACGTCTCGAAAGGATGAGGTTGTAATGGCTTGTCTCAAGCTATCAGAGTCTTATAAGCTTGCCTCGTTCTAATGCATTGATATGCAGCTGAGATCACTCATCTAGAATATTCCTTTACCTGTATATAATCTGGCTTATTCCCTATTGTAAAGAAAGTAATCAATATATTAAGTTGATACTTCATTTTGTTCTTCAAAGTTTAACTTGGTATCAGAGCTTTTGAAATGGCCAACGCCAACATTGCTGATAGTCCTCAAACTCATTCTGCCTCTGTTTCAAACACCATGGTGCCTCCAGTGCTGGGAAGTCACCATCTCACACCTTTTGGTATGAACCTTACACAAACACCCTCAGTTAAACTCGATAGAGACAACTATCTTCTATGGAAAAACATGATCCTTCCCATCATCCGAGGTCACAACCTGGAAGGACACCTGCTGGGAACCAAGGCATGTCCCTCAGAATTCCTCAACACTCAAATCACTGGAGAAACAGGAACTAGTTTTTGTTCTTCAAAGTTTAACTTGGTATCAGAGCAATTGAAATGGCCAAAGCCAACATTGCTGATAGTCCTCAAACTCATTCTGCCTCTGTTTCAAACACCATGGTGCCTCCAGTGCTGGGAAGTAACCATCTCACACCCTTTGGTATGAACCTTACACAAACACCCTCAGTTAAACTTGATAGAGACAACTATCTTCTATGGAAAAACATGATCCTTCCCATCATCCGAGGTCACAACTTGGAAGGATACCTGCTGGGAACCAAGGCATGTCCATCAGAATTCATCAACACTCAAATCACTGGAGAAACAGGAACTAGTATTGAAATGACTCCCAACCCAGAATTCAATCAATGGAAATCTGTTGATCAACTGCATTG